AAAAGTGAATACATGAAAAAATCAAAGGGGGTCCAACATCAACTAATATACATAAAAAACTAATATAAACAGTGTAACTTTTCGTCCTAGCTCCGCCCCTGGACTTGAGGGTTTGGTGGATATTTTTTTTTGTTGCAAATTTTCTAGTTGATTTAGTATTTAGCTCAAGTGTATCTTGTGTAAGTAACTGTTTCAATGTCTTGTTTCAGGAGGGCGCACTCAATGCTCCTCAATTGATGCAACGCATAAAATCTGCACTGGAAGTAAAGCAGTAGTCTTAGCGTGCTGCCTTTCTAGTGCTCGAATCATCGTTTTGAAGTTATTCATGTTTAAATTTCAATGATCGTGTTCTGTGGAAGCCTTCAGTTTCTCGCTCCATGTATTTGCAAAGAAAATTGATTAGATACAGGTGTACAATGATTAATCAATTTGCCCTAACTGCTCTAATTTTTTTCTCCCTTAAAATATGATTAAACTTTAATTTTTTAACGGAATGGCAAACTTTGATCAACTGATGTTCAATGTATTAATAATTCACCAGATACAAAAAGCATTTGCATTGTCTGAATAAAGTAGCAGAGACTTTTCTTTCTGAAAATCAAACCAATACGAAAATGTCTGAGAACAAATGGTGATTTAAGAAATCGAGCTTTAAATAAAATCTTAAAAGTTCAGATAATCAATCAATTTAGTTAATATACGTGCTCATGTATCCTTTTACCATCCAATACCAACAGAAAGCAAAAGGAATAGCAGGTGAAAGATGGAGATGAGAGCAAAAGAAGCCATATCAATAGGCCAAGACCTCACTCCTCCAATCCCCCCGCTTTCACTTTGCCTCCACCATTCTACACTTCTCTCTCACTGCTCTTCTTGCTTTTCTCCCCTCCCTCCTCCTCCTTCCCTTCACTATCCTCCCTTCTTCTCCCCTAAAAATCCCAATTCAAATCACTCCATTCGCTACTGTTCCCTTCAATGCTCTTCTCTCGACTCCCCTATTCACTTCTCCTCTTCAGAATTCCACTTCTTTCACCTCTTTCCTCAACCCCTTTACACCAATTTCCCTACTTCCTCCGACCTTCGTCTCTCCCTCCGCCTCCTCCACCTCTTCCAAACGCTTCATCTCATCCAAGAATCAAATGGGTCTTTATTAAATTTGGAAAGAATTGGTGGGTTGATGACGAATTTCAGGAAAGTAATGTTCTTGGAAGAACACTGCAATGATAATGATCTTTCTGGAAGAATTCGTGATGGGGCAAAGGCTTTGGCAGCTTCTAGAAGAATGCGTGTCGGTTTGGAGACCAACGGAGAGTATACTGTGGAAGCTGCAGTGCTCTGTTTAGTGCTGACGAATGCAGTGGAAGTGTACGATAAAGATGGGAGAAGTTTAGGGGTGGGTGTTTATGATGTACCATTTTCATGGGTCAATCATAGCTGCTCTCCTAATGCTTCTTACAGGTTTTGTACAGCATCAGATTCAGGAGGGATATTGGAGAGTAGGATATGTCCAGCAGCTACGGAGACTGGTGCTGCTGGCATTGGACATGAATCAATTAGTAGTAATACTGAACTTCAGAAATCCATGTCAGTTATTGGTAATGAACTACTGTAATTTCTTTCCAAAGTTATGATTTTTTTGATAATCTTGATGGAGAGCAAATGTGATTTTCTTTCTGCTTTCCATTCGTTGTTTGGCGATAGGTGGAAGTGAAGCATGTGGTCCGAAGATAATCCTTAGAAGTATAAAGGGCATCCAAAGAAGTGAAGAAGTGTTGATTTCATACACTGACTTGTTACAGCCTAAGGTACAGTTGTTCTCAATCTTTTGAAGGACATGACACAATTTTATATTATCAAGGACATCACTATAGATAGGAAAGAGTGGATGTCGTGTATTAGGGTAGAAGGCTAGTAGAAGAGAGTGTCGCCTTTCCTTGCATAGGTTTAGTGCCTGTCATAGGACTAGTTGTACCCTTGTAGTTCTTGTGGTATGATGTTTATTGTATTTTGATGATCACATTATTTTAGTTGTTGTTACTGTTTCTCTCTTGTATACTCAACACTGCTTTTTTTTATTAACCACTATGCTTTGTCCATTGTTTTCATCTTCTTTTACTTGGTTTTTGATGCACTTGAGCTGAGGGTCTTCCGTAAACAGGCTCTCTACCTCCACGAGGTAGCGGTAAGGTTTGAGTGCGCTCTACCCTCCCCTGACCCCGCTTTGTGGAATTTCATTGGGTATGTTGTTGTTGTTGTGTTTCTTATCAAATGTTTCTTGATGGAGAACCTTCTGAACTCAGGTATGAACTATGAATCAATTGCCAGTTAGATACATTTTGTATGACTGAACAAATGCTGGTTCCAATGCCGAATAATTTCACTGTAACATTATCAATTCGATTTATTTGAGTTGTTGCTTAGATTGTTTACCAGAATTGTTCTTCTTTTTCAAATCCAGTATATAGGGATGATGACAGCTAAGTTCTACAAGTTATTTTTAATGATGTTCTATGTTAACCATATCAACTTTCAAAAGAAAAAAGAAACAGTTTTAATAGTGACTTTACTTGTCTTCCAGGTGATGAGGCAATCAGAGTTGTGGTCGAAGTACAGGTTCAGTTGCTGCTGTAAACGATGTAGATCAATGCCTATGACTTATATGGATCATTGTCTGCAGGTAAAATCATATGGTTTGAGAACAATGGTTAGAAGGGTATGCATGTACTGTCGAACCGTAATTGTAATACCATCATTTTTGTCCAACAGTAAGCTCCTTCTTTAAATGATTCCAGTTTCACCTCTTTGATTTTCCGTACCTTATAAATTTTATGTTTGGTAATTGCAGCATATCCTGTTAATTCGAGTTGTAGAGGGTAATCTGGAAATTGGAGCATTTTTCTTTTATTATGATCTATTTTTTGTGTAATTGACCACTAAATAGTTGTAATTTGGAGGGTTCCTTTATTCATTACTTTGATTTTGCTTCCATTGTTTTGTTTTTTTGGGATGAGTACTTTGCTGCCATTGTTGTTTCAGCATATTTGTCTTTTATTTTCCTCAAATTTGGTCTGACATCAAATTGTGTGGCAATCAGAATGCACTTAGTAAAAGAATTAGGCCACAGTTGATACACGTATGGAGGTTTGATGATCATGGAGATGAGATGTGACAATAAATGTTTGTTTCAAAGAAACTAAGGTGTTCAAACTTGGTAAGTGCTCACCAAGGCAAAAATAAAAAAGGAAAAGGACTAAGAGGTGATTTCTGGTGCAACCCCATCACAACTAGAAGTGCTCCGAATCTCCTCCCACTGTCCTTACTCGGGTCTTGGCTCTATTGTACATGTCCTTAATCCGATTCCGACCTAGTGTATGCCACAGGAACAGCTCTAGCCTCCAAGCATCTTCATAGAACCTCCCTCGGAACTTTGTCATATGTCTTTTCTATGTCAATGAAACAGCATGTTTATCATCAAAAGCAATAAGAAATTAAAAATAGCCCAAAAACATCCAGGCTGGTGTTTAACAATCTGCTAAGAAGTCTAGTTTATATATTTTCTCTTGTAATTTTCCATATTGTTTGTTTTCTTCCTTTAAATCTCTGGGAGTTTTTTTCCTTTTAAGCCAAGTTCTGCTTTGAAGTTCGTAGTCAAGCAGAGTTGAAGATCATTGCTCTTCTTGTTTTTTCTCCTAAGAATTATGACATATCTAAGCCTTTAGGATCATTAACATCTTTTGTGAATTTTCTTGTGCAGGAAATCTTAATTTTAAATCTCGATAGTTCAAATATGGCTACTGGTGACAACTTCTATGAGGAACATGTAATGGAGAAGCTGATTGATTGCTTGGATGACGCTATAGATGACTTCCTGTCATTTAATAACCCCAAGAATTGTTGTGAAAAACTCGAGATCCTGCTTACTCAAGATCATGTTAACGTTCTTCTAAAGCCTGACGGAGAAAAATTACATCAACTCTTCAGATTACATCCTCTTCACCATGTCTCTTTGCATGCCATCCTGACACTTGCTTCTGCATACAAAGTCTCTGTAAGTGAACTGCTGGCCCTAGACCCCGAAGGCCATGAACATCAAACCAAAGCTTTTAGTCTTAGTAGAAAGAGTGCAGCATATTCCTTGTTGCTTGCAGGTGCCACCCAGCATTTATTAGAATCCGAGTCTTCTCTCATTGTGCCTGTATCAAATTTTTGGATGACTGCTGGTGAGACTCTACTAAGTCTTGTCAGAAGCTCCACTTGGAACTTACTTTCAATGGAAAGACACGTTGAGGAATTTTCATTTTCGTCGCATCAAATTTGTGGCAAATGCACACTGCTTGATAGGTTTAGAGATAAATTTGCCGATTGTCATGATGAAAATGCAGAGTTTGCTGATGTAACTAGCCAATTTTTGAGTTGTGTTACCGATACAACATCAAAAATCTGGGATTTCCTCACAAAGGAAGGTGGTTACTTGAAAGTAGTTGAAGATCCCATTAACTTTAGATGGCTTGGGAGTAGGATGCCATCTTTTAGTCAGTTTGCAACTCATGCAACAAGTCCTAGTGCAGACAAAACAGATTCTGGATTGGAAGCAGAAGATAATCACAACGAGATACGGGTAAACTTGTTCCTGCTTGGTATTCACTGCTTAATCTATGGAGCTTTTTTGTCAACTGTATGTTTTGGTCCTAATTCGCCACTCATGTCTAAAGTTGAAAGTCTTCTTAGTGTCGAAGGTATTCTGAACGGTTAACTTAAGCCATTGGTTGCCTACAAATCCCTATTGTGTGAAATGCCAAACCATATGTTACCTGTTTTGTGATTTAGGTAAACGCAAGGAAATTTTCAAACTAAACATTTCACAGTTATAACATCCACCAGTCAAAACCTCACTTAGTTGGAAATATTTGTTTGAAATTTCTAAACGCTCACACAAGTATATACACATCCAGATGAAATCAAACTATACTATATAAAAATATCATAATAATTGAAGGTTCCACCTAATATAGAAATCCCCATCACAACATTTTCTCATCACTCACGCTGGCTAATATTTTTGGACATTGTCTATACAACTATAAATAATGGACATTTTGGAGAAGAAAATATCTGTGAATTGACATTAATTTAAGAGAAGCAATACAATATGGCTGAAGAGAAACACCAACACCATCACCATTTGTTCCACCACAAGAACAAGGAGGATGAGGGTGGACCAGTTGATTATGAAAAAGAAGTGAAGCACCACAGCCATCTCGAGAAGATTGGTGAACTTGGTGCTGTTGCTGCTGGTGCTTTGGCCTTAGTATGTAAATATAATAACATATATTCGATATTTTGTTTTTATATACGTTACATTTGATACAAGTCTTCTTTAATTTCTTACGCCGTTTGTGGTTGAATTATTAAATATATAGCATGAGAAACACAAGGCAAAGAAGGACCCAGAGCATGCACACAAGCACAAGATAGAGGAAGAGATTGCAGCTGTTGCTGCAGTTGGGGCAGGTGGATTTGCATTCCATGAACATCATCAGAAAAAAGATGCCAAGAAAGAAAAAAAGGAAGTTGAGGGTGGACACCACCACCACCACCACTACTAATCAAATTTAACTTTTTTAGGCACCTATGGACTCTATGTTTTGTCTAATATAAATAAATAAAAGATACTACTATATATGTGTTTTGTATCCAATATTAATCTCTCTCTAGATTGTATGATTTGGTGTTTCTATGTTAATCTCACTATGTAATACTTTGAGCCCGTTTGGATGGGCTTAATAAAAGCAGCTTTAAAAAAGTACTTTTGAAAGTGCTGAAACTTATTTTTAAAATAAGTAGTTATGCGTTTGGATAAAAGTGTTGAAGTTAAAAAAAAAGTTGTTGATGTATTTGGCAAATAAGTGCTGATAAACAACTTTTTAAATCAAAATGTCTGAAATACCATCAAAAGCAGTTAACATAATAAAAGTTAATTAATTTATATTTTACAGCCATAAATAATTATATTTTGCTATCATTCACATATTTCTTTCTCATCACAAATTATTTATAAAAGGAATATAAACTTATTATAGATTTTAAAGATATATAATTTGAATAGATCAAAGAACGATTTAAGATTTAATTTAGTTTCATCCATAGGTAATAATAATTGTTTATCATTCACATATTTCTTTATTATCACAAATTATTTATAAGAGGAATATAAATTTTTATTTTTCAAGATATTATCGACATCAATCGAGAGAAAAGGAAGAAAGCTAATAAAAAATAATCGAAAAAACTTACTTCAAGGTTTATCTTTACTTCAAATTGGAAGAACAGGAAGAAGTTCAGCAGCTATGCCAAATGTGAAGGGGAAAATGGAAGAAAGAGAAGTTAGGGTTATGTGAGTTATTTGGAGATTGTATAAAAATATTAAGGGCAAAAAGGTAAAAATGTGGTCAACTTAAAACAGCTTATAAGCTAAAAAAAAAAACACCTTTACCCCAGCTTTTAACTTTTGACTTAAAATAAGTTTTTTTAAACTTAAAATAAGTTATTTTGAGTATTGTCAAACAACTAAATAAGTCAAAAACCAGCTTTTAAGTCAGTTTGACCAGCTTTTAAGCTGAGCCAAACAGGCTCTTTGTCTATGGATTAATTTGCTTTTTGAGTGTTATTTTTTATATTTTGATCGATGTATAATTTTATTACGATATTATTTTTCCCATTATTTTGTTATTATTTGTTGATTCTTACATGTACTTCCATTACTATTTATTGTTTTTTTTATTGAATCTAGGTCTATTATATCAATATCTTTACCTTTGAGATGTAGATACAAATACAATCGGCAAACATTTTACTTTCTTCAAATCTTACTTTGTTGGATTATATTAAATATATTATTATTATTAATTTTTTCAATCTTTAACATTTTGACTAATTTAAATTTATACCGTGTATGAACTTGGTAGGAGGTGGCAGTGAAAAACAAAACATAAGATTTACTTGAATGATAGTGACAAGTATTTGTTTTTCTCCTTTGCCTCATGTGCTGTTAGTAGTCTTAATAGCTAAGTAATTCCATATTTTGGTGGATGATTCACAATCTTCACCCTCTAATTATGAAGATAAATTACATATTTTATATACCTTTGAAAAACATGAAGATAAATTAGTAATAAAGAGAATAATATTCTTTAATTTACTAATGTCACTTACTAATTACTATGAATGGATATAATTATCTCAGGTTTGTAATTATCTTTTTAAGTGATAATAGTTTGTTGGTGAATATATCATAATTACCGTTGAAAACAAAGTGAACAGAAATAAATAAATAAATATTTTTATTAAGTCGTAACTATCTCACAATTTTTAAGGTGATTCAAATTCATTGCAGTATAATTTTCATCAATTCAATAATATAACTTTTGACTTGTCCCCTCTAAAATAGTTTAACTCAATTCGCACAAGCTCATTCTTATGAAAAGCGATCAACTTTTGTCATAAGTGAAATCTAATAATGATGCTCCTATAATTTCGACATCCCACTCATACAGTATACAAATCTTATCAAGAGTTTTTAAGCTCACCCTCCATAAATCATTATAGAATAAATACATTCACATCAAAGGAAGAGAATAGAAAAAAAATATAATAGTGCATATATAACTAGTTATCAAATAATTCTTTCTTTCTGTTGAACCTAATTATATGATCTCTAGTTCCAGATTGAATTTTTCATATGTTACTCAAAATTTCAGGAGCTTTAATTTCATCACCTCGACATCTTCAAACTTTTTATCTTATTTATAAGTGAATTTGCAAGATTATCACAAAATTTGACATAATCAAATTTTAACTATATTACTTGTCAAATATGATCTCAAAACATTTATTTTGCTTGTGGATATGAATTTGCTGTTATAATAACGGTTTAAACTATACCCATAGCGTTGATGTTATCACAATAAATCAAAATTAAAGAAAGTAATTTTCAATTGCACCACTTGTGAAAAATGATTATCGTTATTAGCTCAATAAAGATACTACCATAGTAAATCGAAATAAACACGTTTCAGAAGAACTTTTATTTTTCAGTTGTATTTGTATTTAAATTATAGTCATACAAATGTTACCACAAATTCCAAAAAAAAAAATTATTTCTTCAATTAAACACCTAGTTAAGCAACACTTGAACATAATAAATTAAAACTAAGAAAATAATATAAATATTCTTTAAAAGAAATATCGATCGATGAATAATTCCGCCCCTACACGCAGACGAAAAAAAAAGAAGTTTGAAAAGGGAAATGCGAACCATATTGTACGCGTTATTTGTTTTCTGATTTCAGTAAGCAAAAGGAAATTTTCAAACTAAAGCATTTTCATTTGATAATTATTTAAATTCAACTTGTTTTATTAGGTGCTAAGAAACATCTTAGTAATATCATCCACCAGTCAAAATTAAATCCCAACTTAGTTCGAAATAATTATTTGAAATTTCTAACCTTCACACTAGTAATTAATTAATAATATATATTATTTACTTCCAGAAGAAGTCAAATTTAATTTTCTATGACAAGATGATATCTAAAATACAAATTAAATTGAACATGTTTGGTCGAATTTTCTCGTCCTTCATGACAACTACGTAATATTTTTGGACATTACAATTCACCGGCCTATAAATAATGGAGTAGCTAGAAAAAACAAAATATCAAAGCATAAATTGTCTATCGACGTTTAATCAACAATTAATTTAGTGAAGAAAATATTATAATATTAATATGGCTGAAGAGAAACAACATCACCGTTTGTTCCACCACAAGAACAGAGAGGAAGAAGGTGGTCCAGTTGATCATAAAAAAAAAGTGAAGCACCATAGCCATCTCCAGAAAATTGGTGAACTTGGTGCTGTTGCTGCCGGTGCTTACGCCTTGGTACGTAAACATTACTTCCTCCATCTCATTTTATTTGACTAGGCACGAAGTTTAACAATGAATAATCGAAATTTAAATCATTTCATCAATCGTGTATCATTCTTTTTTAGACTGACTAAAAAGTAAAGTAAGTCACATAAATTGGAATTGGAATAGGAAGAATATTTAATAACATATGTTATGTCCATTGATATAAAATATTTCATATACATGTCCTAAATTTTTGTGTCTAGTTATTTCAAATAGGATATGTATGGTACTATTATACTCTATGTTCTATGTGGAATATATATAGTTGGACTAGTGATTTCGCTCCAAGTTTAAAGTGATCATATAGCTTTTCTAATGTCATAATACTCCCTTCGTCTTATATAATCGTTACTTTTTATTTCCAAGCTTATGTCGAAAAGTAGTAAAAAAACGATAGATAATTTGAAGCGAACATGTATGTACTAAAAATGCATGTAAATATACAGCATGAGAAGCACAAGGCAAAGAAAGACCCAGAGAATGCACACAAACACAAGATAAAACAAGAGATAGCAGCAGTAGCTGCAGTTGGTGCTGGTGGATTTGCATTCCATGAACATCATCAGAAGAAAGAAGCCAAGAAAGAGAAAAAGGCAGCTGAGAAAGGACGACACCACTAATTAAATTTAAGTCACCCATCTATGGACTGCATAAAATAAATAAAAGTTACTATATATGTATATATATTATGTGTTTTATGTTCAGTTTAAATTTAATTTATGTCCAGTGTGTATTAGAATGGTGTTTCTCACCTTGTAACACTTTTTCTATAATTCTATTCATTAATTTGTTTTTTCAATGTTAATCTTATTTTTCTTCCTTGTGTAATTTTTTTTTATTTTTTTTAAAATGTAACTTTCATGCTTTTTGGTGGTGTAACCCTTTTATTTATTTAATCTAATAAGCTATACATAGAAAACAAATGATAGCCTAAACTACCGTAAACACATGTTTGATTCATGAATCCGACTGGAAAAAAAGTGGTATAGCAAGTATTTTTAAAATCTACCAAAATTGTAAGTAATTATATATAGTATATAAAGTGGTGAGTTTGCTAATAGCCTATATTACTTAGCCCATATTAGTTCATAATCTATGTAATATATTTTTTTTATTCGAAAAAAACATTGATACATGACATTTTACATAAATAAAATATTTCAACTTGACATAAATAGTAAACTATCATTATTAATTAAAACTTAAAGATTAAAATATTACTATCCATAAAAAAATTAATTTTTAATTAAAAAATTCATACTTCACCTCCCCTTCCCCGTATTATTTTATTTTTTCAAAATAATTTTTTCCCCCATCCATTTAACCCTTCAATCCTAATTTTTATTTTATTTTATTTTATGTTAGATATGCACGCACATATATTTTAAGAAAAATATGCTATTAGTGTATCGAATAAAACATTAATAAGTAAAAAATTAAAACATGTCTTGCAGTGACAAGTAAAAAGTATTTTTGATATGTGTATATATCTAACACAAAATAAAAAAAAATTAAATGGAGTGGATAATATTATTTATTCTTTTAAAAAATAAAATAATATTTAAATTAGTATTTCAGCAGGCAGGGGAAGAGAGAGGGGGGTTGAAACTCAAAAAATGATATTAAATATTAAATAACCTAGCGTTATTTTAATTTTTTTACTAATATAACTATACAAGTGTCACGACCCAAATCGTGTCCTCCTGTGTGAGCGAACCAACCAATCTAAACCTTAACATTTCAATATAATATCAACAGAAAATAATGCGAAAGACTTAAACTCATTAATAAAATCAATAACTATTATTATCCCCAAAATCTGGAAGTCATCATCACAAGA